TCCATGGATGGAGAATCCGTGAATTCCCAAGGCGTGTCTATGATGCCGTCTTATTCAGTAATGAAGTGGACATACTTACCATAAGATGGCAGGAGTTGAATCCGTACGTGACAGAGTTTGTTTTGCTCGAATCTAATTCAACTTTCACCGGATTGCCAAAACCTTTGCATTTCGCTATCAACAGAAAGAGTTTTGATTTTGTTGAATCACGGTTAACTTACGGGCAAGCTCCAGGCCGGTTTCGAACCGGGGAGAACCCATTCATTGAGGAGGCTTATCAACGGTTAGCCTTAGATTATCTTCTTAAGCAAGCAGGCATTCAAGATGATGACTTGTTAATAATGTCGGATATTGACGAGATTCCAAGTCGACACACTATTAACCTCTTGAGGTGGTGTGATAACATTCCGGAAATTCTGCATCTTCGATTGAAGAATTACCTTTATTCCTTTGAATTCCTCCTTGATGATAACAGCTGGCGTGCTTCAGTTCATAGATATCAATCCGGTAAGACAAGGTATGCACATTATCGGCAGTCGGATGATGTGTTGGCAGATTCTGGATGGCATTGTAGCTTTTGTTTTCGCCACATTAGTGAGTTCATATTCAAGATGAAAGCATATAGTCACTTTGACAGGGTGAGGTTTTCACATTTTTTGAACCCTAAGAGAGTCCAGAAAGTGATATGCAATGGGGATGATTTGTTTGATATGTTACCAGAGGAATACACTTTCAAGGAAATCATTGCAAAGATGGGACCCATCCCACACTCCTACTCTGCCGTTCATCTTCCGACCTATCTTTTGGAGAACGCCGACATGTATAAGTTTCTGTTGCCCGGGAACTGTTTGAGAGAAAGTGGTTGATCCAAGTGAGTGTGGCTTTTAATTTTTTTATTTTTTTAGCTGCATAATGCTTCAGGGGTGCTTGGATGAATCAAGAATGTGTTGTATATAAATATATGACCTATATATATGATAATTGAGCAAGTTAAGGAATTTACCCATGGCTGAATAGCTTTAGATTCACGGGGTAGCTTTGCAAAAGACTCCAAATTATGTGCCAAGAAGATTGTTTTAGTTTCTCTAGTTGTGGGCTTTCTTCATATCGGAGAAAATTTTGGTGGTGACTGATGTATTCATTCATACTATATATTTGTGTTATTATTATTGGTTTTTGAGTTTATCTTTTATGATCTGTTGCTTGAGGAATGGAGCTGAATAAAGAAATGGACAAAACAAACATCACTTTAAGAGCTGTTGAGTCTTGGGCGCGCTGGATTCTTATATTTTTATGTTTGTTTTGACTAATCTTTTTTCACAGAAATGTAACATTCCTGCTACCTCATCTTTGTGCCCATTTTGCAGGAAATGTGTGAAGTGTACAGACGCCCGCACAAATAGGGATGTTTTACGAAATTAATCAAAATAATACGAAATATACCATCAACCAAACATGTTAGGATACATTTTCACAGTATTCTTCAAAAATAGTTTAAACACATTCAAGTGATGGAATTATGCCAAAAATATAAGTTTCCCTTTACTAACCGGAAATGTTTTCTATTTCATGAAATCACATTCAAGTGTTATAATTTCTTCTGGTTTTCAAATGTAGGAAACAGATAACATGTTTAACTATTTCCAAAAAAAAGTTCCAAGATTTAAAAAAATACGGAGTATAAAACAGTTCCAAACGGCCACTTTATCTACCCCTGTTAGCCACTCATTAGTTACGGACATTACTGTAAACAAGTAGCCACCAGAACCCACCCCTAATATCTAGGCATGGCCTCGGGCCGGTTCGGGCCCGGTTCGGGCTTGGGCCCGGCCGGTTCACAGTTCATATATGGGAGGCCCGGAACTGGCCCGGGTAACCCCCGGGTCCGGTTCGGGCCGGGCCGGGCCTCGGTCCAATCTATTTTTTTTGGCTTCTCCTAATTAACTCCCAACCCTCCCCCCTCACCCCCAAACCACCTCAAACCACCTCAAATGGCCCAAAATACCTAGCCCAACCCAAAACATAGAAAAAATTCAAAAAAAAAAAAAATTAAATTTGGCCCGGACCGGGCGCGAACCAGCCGGGCCGGTTCACCATTCCTAGGGCCCGAGCCCGAACCGTATGACTAGCGGGCCGGGTCGACCCGAACCGCCCTATGGCCCGGTTCCTGGGCCGGGCCGGTTCAAACAGTGTCCGGTCCGGGCCGGTTCCGGGTCGGGCCGCCCGGCCCGAGTCCATCCCTACTAATATCGCTACTAACCGCCACTCTATCGTCATTGTCATGGACCGGTGATATATTGAGGAACAACATAACTAATAGTGACGAAAAACATCAACCATTCTCACCAACTACCACCAACACCGTCAATCCCTACCGTTGTCATCGGCTGCCATACATGAACACCATTACTACCATAAAGCGGAAACAAGAGGAGTACAAATGAAGAATAAAAGTAACTGGACTCGGGGGTGGACATAAGGGGAGGTTGGTAGGGACCTCGGCCCTTCCAAGAAAAAAATTCTGATGTATATAAGTATGTATAAATATATATTAGCAGTAAAAAATATAGTGAAATTTTAAACTTCGGCCTCCCCAATATGAGTTCCTTCAGGACCGTTTAATGAATTTCGAGGTTCTGGTTCAAAATGTAAAAACGGGGCCCCACATTAATATAATTTTTTTTAAAAAATCTTAATCTAAATACGTATACTCAAATCAATTGAATGCTGATTAAAAGAGAACTGAAAGAGTAAAAGGATCAACAAAAAATGATGGATCTATATTTTTCTTCCTTACTAGGTAACTATATTTTACTGATTAGAATTAATATATAATATTACTATATAATATTAATAAATTTTTAAAAAATTTGGGGCCCCATATATTTTGGGGACCCTGTTCTGAATATAACCTATTGAATCCCCAAAAAAACGTTGAGTTCCTTAAGCCCCGACCCCCCCTGATCATTTCTGGCTCCGCCACTGACTGTGCTTAACAAATTCTAAGATGGTAAGACATTCTTTGAATCAAACAACCTATATATCATAGTAAATCTAACTATCTAAGTATCTAAGTGTGCGAGCCACCTAACAGAAATATAGATGTTGAGGATCGAGTTTCGTAATATTTACAAGATGTGCATTTAATCTCGGAAGAGTTGGGTAATGGTCAAACCATTCTTAGAAATCCTTTACATAATTAAATACTCAAAACATTTTAAATAATCGTTTACATAGGGGTGTTTGCTAAACGACATTTCAGCCGAAAAATGACGGTTTGACCACTTTTAGCGTTTTGAATAAGTAAAATCGTTGTTTGTTAAATAGCTGTTCGACACCAGCATTTTTGGATGAAAATGCCAAAATGAAAACACTGCTAATAGGAGAGTTTTGGGTTGGTGTTTTGAAAAATGACGTTTTCTACTAATTTTATGGCCAAACAGTTAAATTATCAAACATCTTTTTGACATCCTGCCAATTTATTCAACTAGTCAAACCCGCTAGTCGAAGAGAATGCACGAGAAAGGGTGGATTGATCATTGATGTCATAAAAAGTTTGTTTTTATGGAGTAAGAGTTTGGACCATTTGGTAAATAATACGGAGTATTGAATACTTTCGTGTTATTAGTTGAATATATGCATCACAATTAATTCTGTTTAACGCAATAAAAATGTTAAATAATTCGTAAGAATTACTCCGTAATTCTTAACCAAAAGAAAATCTATGCGAGAAAAGTAGTTTTTCTATGGGAGAAATTAACATATTCAGGATAAGGTGATAACTATATTCATTTTTTGTTACTTTTAAATATTTCAATTTATCTCGATGAAAAGAATAAGAAAGACGTGATCATAAATGACTTGAGATATACTCCCAATTTCCTTTTTTGGACGTCCTATATAAACAGTGGTGGAGTCAGGATTGACAGGTTACAGGGGCTGGGGCTTAAAGAATTTATATAGCAGGGGCCAAAACTTAAATTTTCACTATATTTTTCACTACTTATAAATATTTATACATGTATATATAAATCACAATTTTTTTCTTGCAGGGGCCGTGGCCACCGCCAGCCTTCCCCTGTCTCCACCTCTGTATATAAAGATTCTTATTTCTATTTTGTGATACAATTTATAATGTTTTTAATCGGACTAAATTTTTTTGGTCTGGTATGATCTGATCTGGTCTAGTTAGGGAAATGTCTGATCTCAATGTATTTTATAACTATGCAAGTTTGATCGGAGACCGAAAACAGCCCAAATAAAAACATCCTTAATCATCACATGTTAGAAATAATATATCTATAAAATCACATTTATCATCAATGACTTCCTTATATGATATATCATCAATAACAAAATATACTCAAATTAGAGGTAGCATCTAATGGAGCGGTGAATGATGAAAGTAGTTAAATTTGAGGTAGTTAAAAAAAAAAAACTTATTTCGTTATTTTGATAGCAACGGGTTAACTTGATCTTGTTTATATAATTTTTTTAATCTTGTCTAGCTATTTAATTTCATTCTTATGAATTATGATCTAAGATTTAATTTGAGCTCATAAAATTAAAAAATGTTGATCGGCCACAGTAAAAAAGCCATTGCAAAGATTTGAAATGTTAGGATGTTTTCTTTTGGACGGTTTTCAGTTTCAGACCAAACCAGATCAGACCAGACTTCAGTAGTTATAAATGAACAGAGACCAGACATTTAGCAGACCAGACCAGACCAGACCAGTTCAAATTAGACCATCAAATTTCAGTCCAAAAGAAAACATCCTTAGTAGACTATCAGACCATAGCACCCAAATAAATTTCTTTTTCGAATTTAACCCATCACGGTCTCATGGCACATGTAAAATCGGTATAACTTCTAGGGAAAAGTACCGTGAACGTACTTGTGGTTTGACTCGTTTTCAAATAAAGACATGTAGTTTGTTTTTTACAAATTAAAGTGGATATATGCTTTCACTTTGAGAGTTTCTGTCTAAATGTCGTAAGAACTAAAATGACGTGTCATTTTTTTATTCATCCACACGGTCTTCCATACAGTACTACAACATGGATCAAATTGTTTGTTTGTTTATTGATTTATTCATTCACTTACTCTTCCTAGAACGTAAAATGTGCATTATATTCTGAATATATGTATAAGTAAGATTGTATTATTAGGATACATGACTAGGATCCATCCTATACTTGTTCATGATTGATTTTGCTTTTTTTTCCAAATTGTCAATGATAGTTATTTCCTTCTTAAGAGCTGTGAAGTTGTAAAGATCAATCCCATTTGACTTGTAATAAGCTTCTTCTGCATCTGCTACCCTTTTTTCAAACATTTTCCACTCCACAATAGATCTTGTTCGAATCTACACATAAATAAAAGTGAAGTGAGAAAATTTATACTGAGATTATTTTATTAATTCGCATTCCCTATATAAAAGAATTTGTACTTAGTAGTCCAATCATTAATGATGTTAATTTTTTAATCCTTCTAACTTGATGGTAAACATTGACTGTTACATCAGCACGCTAAGTAATTTACCGTCCATGTCATCAAGTTTGACGATGTGGAAATCAACGTTGACCCCCCCATTTCAAAACTTACACGCTTAACTCCTAGAACACTAATCAAATAAAGTAGTTTGCATAAGATTTTTTTTGTTCAATGACCTTAACGATACTTCATAAATCATAATCGTATATATAGTTAAGGATCTTAGGAATACTTCAATTAAATTGTGTTGGGGAATTGACCAGCTTACCATGAGCCAACCAGGCATCCCATTCTCTTGTACTCCCTATAAAAAGGCAGTGAAGATGAACAATGTGGGGAAATGCATGGATTCTCAATATAAAACACAGTACATGGTTATTGTACCTTATTCACTACATATATTTACCTCATTCGTAATTGAAGGAACTCTTCTATGAAGAACTGGCTGAGCATCAACCACTCCAATCTTCTCATGTGCGGGCTGCAAAAAACATCCAATATGTAATCATGTTAAATGTCCCACTCCGGAAACATTTGGATGAACAAAGTGCTATATTGACACATGGGCTACTTCTCCTATCAGTTTGACCTTTTAGGATGGAACCACGAGTCTTAACATGGTATCAGAATCAAATCGATCCATGGTGTGGGCCCCTTATGAAAAATGATGACACGATTATAAAAACGTCCGGATGAAAAAAAAACGGACTGATGAAAAAAACGAACCGCAACACATTTTCGAAAGGTGAAATCAAGACCCCAACCATGCACCAAGTCATTCTGCACTAAATAAAGGTTCATTACATTAACTCATTAAGGATGCACAAAAAGTACAATTCCTGTTTCAAGATCCAAATGCAGCACCTGAAGCATGTGCCACACACAACGCCATGCGTCACGAGAGAAAACAGGAGCCATGATTTCCACAAATCTAAAATGAAAAACACAAACGTACAAACTTTGATAAGAACTTGTTTGGTTGGGGGATTACAGAGTCACGGGAAAGAGTGGATCGGATTTGATTTATACTTTATCATATGATCTCTATTTTTAGTCTCGAACTAGTAATGACTAAATTACATATTGAACATTCATCATATTCTAATGGGTTATGCTAGAGGTACAAAAACTCTTACAAAAAATCTTACAAAAGTTATATGTGGCATCATCACATTATTTGACACATCACATCACTTTTATAACATTTTTACATCAATGGTAATTAGAATAGCCACATCACTTGTTTCTAAGTTTTTTTGTAAGTGTGTTTGTACTTCTAGCATTTTTCTATTCTAATTCATATTTTCCAAAACAACAAAACTTTTAGTGTATTTTCTGAGTATATATACACATTTGAGTTATTAATAATACTTTATCATCAATAAATCAATGAACTACTATAAACTTATCAAGTACTCCGTACTTGATTTGAATACAGAGTATATATAAGATTAGTTGATCATGCATTTCTATATTTTTATCTTCATCACTTTATTTCCGACCAGATAAATTTCAGTTCCCTTACCTTATCCCTTCAATCAAACAAACCCTAAGGAACACAGTTCCATTCTAAAACTAAAGCTCAAATTGATAAATAAAAAAAGTAGTCTAATTTATATGTTAGCTCAATGTTGAATGATTATCCTTAAAATTGTATTAACTTCCATATGCATGGCAATGTATGACATAAAAAGTAAATTAGAGTAGCGGTACGTACGCTGCACATGGAGGCAAATGAGAATCATTACACCATCCTGACTTCTCTTTCCTAATGAGAGTATTTATGAAAACATATCTTTAAATAGCATTACAAATAAGACTTTTTTTGGGGGTACTTTTGAAATCGTCTTACTTGTGAACTTCGCGATCATTTAATCTCCAAGACATTTTCCACGATGATGAACTCCCCTCCATTGCCGGTTGTGAAATCTCCAATCCATGTTTCTTGACAAGTTTGATATATCTTAGATCAGAGAAAAAAGAATCAAGTTAAGCAAAATTTACCATTTGGTTTAAACCGCTAAAAACAAGAGCACTTACTCTTCAGCGTCAAACTTCTCAACGCCTAGATCTTCATCCCATATAAAAATGTATTCATATGGAGAGACAATGTCTGGATGTAGAAATCTTTTTGCGTACCACCTTACAAAAATTTGTATAGTTCATGTTATTACTATGATCTAATTGTAACCAAGAGAAGTAGTTCAGCTCCCGGGTTCGAAACTCCATGAAAGCTGTTTCAGCCCACTTTACCCCAGGTCCCCTACGTCTCCTCCCCGACGTCCCAAGGTAGAAACCAAGAGTATGTTATTGTGTAAATCATTACCATTTTGTTTGCTTAGTCACAGTAACATGGATCGCCTGCTTAGACCATTCAAACTCATCCCATTCAGTTGTTCGGCCATCATAGTGAAACAGAAGAATAGTAAAATTTTCTGAAAACTGCAAAAGAAAGATGCAATTTCAAATAGTAAGGACATACCATAGGGAGTTGAATTGAAGAGGGCCTAAAAAAGTCTCACCTTTTTAACAATATCATCAACATTATTCTTCTGCTTATAACCAACACTTATTGCTACCAAATACTTTGGTCTAGTAACTAGGTCCTGCATATTAAAAGCTGGATCATATTCAAAACAATACCTAAAGCTATCATGTCCAGAATCTTGAATAAAAAAGTCCTATTGATTAGTAAATTTGTGTGCCATTCGCCTGATCAAATTTGAATGTAGAGACAATCACTAAGTAATAAGGTGTCAACCTCAATTGCAAATTATAAGGTACCCGTTTAGCAAGAGTGTTAAAAATATATTGGAGAGAGTAGTTTTTAACTTTTGTAACTTCTAAAACGAACAAAAAGTAGTATATGTGTCCACACACAAAAAGTTAAAATCGATAAAGTGTGAAAGTAAAATACTTATGCAGTTTCAATTAGGAAAATGTCTATATTTTCAGGATAGATAAGAAGTAAAGTGCGTCTATTATAATATCAAAATATTCCCGGTGGAATATTTTGATGAAATTTTTTGAGCATCTTCTTCATTAAGTCTATTTTACCCGTATCAAATTTCAGCTAAAAATTATATCGGGAAGGCAGTCAAATGATTTTCCGAAATGTACTGCGCTGTTTAACTACGCAGTTATCTTCAAAAAAATCATTCGATTGCCTTCCCGGTTGGATTTGTAACTGCAATTTGGTATGGGTAAACTAGACTTAATGAAGAAGATGTTCAAAAAATTTCATCAAAATATTCCATCGGGAACCGCCTCAATTGACGACGGCCGGGCAGAACCTCCTATATAAGTGGCTAATTGAACACTTTAAGTTAGTTCAAGGGCCTATTTGACCCTTTAGCCTTGTTTATAATATCATATATTTTTAGATATTAGCACTAAAAAAGTCTTTTTTAGCGAATACATCTAAATGAGTGCTAGTTTACAATATAACAAAACTCAATAATCAAGAGATAAACAAAGTGATCTGATCTAGGCCAAATGTAGTCTACTAGAAGCTATCCAAAAAAGATTTTTCAAATGCTTGCCTCACTTGGTTCACCGCATAATCGACGACGAAACAAGTCTGACTCAGAGACAACAAGTTTTGGAGGCAATCTCTCTGCTCCCCTAGGGTTTGATGAAGCCCAAATCTATTAAAAAAATCACAATACAAAGTGAATATATTTCTGTTAGGGAATAATTATTTATTTTTCATATACCCAAACCCATTACATTAAATCGAATATTTAGGACGAAATGAATTTGAATAACCTAAACAGGATAACCTTTGTAGAATACTGAACATTTTGAGTAGTTATCAAGTCAGTTCTCTCTACGATAGAACCCACATTGAGAGAGTCTTTAACAAATGGCTGCAAAGTTGGAGTAGCAAGCCAGCTGATGAGTTATGAGAGCCACTAAACAAAATCATCTTAAAATAGAATATTGGTAATCATATAAGGGAAACATGTTCTTGCCTTGATTAATGAAAGTGGAGGAAATGTCACCCCAATTAAGAAGCCAAAAATGGTTCCAAAAATAACACTAACATAACTCCTCTTTAATACATGTGTTCTTTTAGCACTTAGAGTACTACCTGAAACAAATGTGAGAGATAAGACACTATCAGTGAGTTAAGGATCCAAATCATATTTAGCGGGCATTTTTGTTATGATATGTTACTATCAGTGACACAACACCACATGGTTTGCACAATAGTAAGGTGCAACGCCATACGATTATATCATACAATCAGTTGTACCGTGTTATTGGAACAACATGATATATTTGTAATTAACTTCAAATCGGAGCTTAGTTATAGCCAGATAACATCACTGGAAACATATCGCTAGAGATTTTTAGACCCAACATGTTGGACAACGGGTCTCACAAAGCTGTGTAGATTGCGAGTGATATTCCCGTTTTCTCCGAATTCCATAGCTTTTGTCACCGCTGATCATAACCATGACATCCTTGATCAACCTTCTTCGTCTACAAAAGAGTGGAGGAGATGTGGTGATGAATGTTGGCTGGTCACTTGTTTAGCGTGAGGAAGAACACATGAAGAGTACATGCACTGGTTCACGTTTCAATTATTTAACAAAAAATGTCCTTATTTTGCTAAAAGAATAGTCCTTATTTGACAAAAAATGTCACTCCAATTAAGAAGTAAAAAATGGTTCCAAAAATAACACTAATATATCTCCTCTTAGATACATTTGTTCTTTTAGTAGAAGAGCTTATTTGACCATTTTTCCTTACATGGTTCAAGTAAATGGCTAAATGTTGTCATGTTACTTCTATTTTGGGGGGGAAAATATAGGAGTCCTATTTTGAAACGTCAAAACTCGTTTACTCCTATTTCAGGAACTTTCACATTTACGTACATATAAATTTGCAATATACAATACCTTCCTCCAAGTACTAAAGAGTGATACCCTTTTTCTGTATGTCTACAATAATACATTATTTTATACTCTCTTGATGGCAATAAAAATTTGGGAGAGTTCCTACTGTGTCCCTTGGAAAATGATGAACGAAAATACTCGTAAAGTTTTGCGGTATGTGTAACATATTAACATAATAACATGCATGTATAATATAATATGATACCTGAATGAATTTAAAGGAGAACGTATTGAAGAAGAAACCGGCAGTGAAACTCTCAAAATTAATGAATCAATAGCGACTACTGTAAAATGAGTGCAATGAAGGCCGAAGCACTGGCAAATGCAATATATACGTACTGTCTCGCATACACACACATATATAGTTAACTTTGTAGCATGGAAACGAGAAACGGTTAACATGTAACGGTGAAAACGTCATTCATAAAAAAAGTCCTATGCTTAAATAAAAACTCTATGCTTAAAAAGTCATTTAACTATTACTAAAACAAAACTTATTTACTAAAATATATTAATAGTTACTACAATGTAGTATAATGGTAGATTGATTTTAAAAAAATGAATATAAATGAGTACTAAGTATGATATGGAGTATTACAATATTACTACTCTAGTCACTAGTCACATTTTTATAAACAATCTTTATTTTAGTCATAAATATATAATTATTTCTATAATATAATTCAACACTCACATTTTAGTCATAAATAATTCGCATTTTCTATAATATTAACTGCATTATACAAAGTCTACCCTGAGCGGTGACTGCGAGGCGGTGATCATTACTATTTACTGAGTACTATAGAATACTACCTCCGTCCCATATATAAAACTTGATCAACTTTCTTTTTTTGGTCATCCCAAAAAACTTTGTAATTTCCATTTAAAGTAACAAATATGTGGATATAGTTATTTCTCTTTCTTCTGCACAAAATCAATCACACAGTTTTTTACTTTATTAATCTACGTGCAAGTAACATTGGTCAAGTTTTATGGGACGGAGGGAGTAAAATTAAAGATGAAATTGCTCACAGATCAATCACTAAACTCTTTGTTTGAACTTTTAAATTTTGTTATCGGTACTTCTTGCGGCAACGTTATATTTCTCCGTAGAAATTATTTTAAATTTTTTATGCATAATGTCCCATTTTATATCACTCTATACCCCTTCCATCCTGAAAAGGTTTGTCAAATTGACTTTTTTTAATCAATGTGATCAACTTTGACCGGTTACATTTTTAAATGGAAATCAGTTTGAACATGAAAATTATATCGTTCTTTATTCTTATAAAATATATAAACTTGGATATCATTCACCAGTAAAATTCAAGCGAACTCATTCGGAATGGAGGTAGCATTTATTATATGTGCTCTCCACATCATGAGGCTTTGAAATGCCAAAAAGAAGCATTATGAAGAGAGGACAGCAAATGACTATTAAATCACGAACAATAAGTTTGGGTCGCTAATGACCAATTTATGTGATAAAGTCAACCACTAGGCCTTCTCAGATTTCTATCCGTTGGTATTTTTATGTGCAGATCGTGCTGGAAGACTTGGAAAATGTACTCATAATTCATATAGTCATATTCAAATGGGCGGACCCACTTGTACTTTACAAGAAAATAAAAAAACGGGAGCTCAGATACACTTGGTTTATCCGCAAAGCAGACCATGGGCGACCCAATCGTCCGAGGAGCGTAGAATTTCATCACAGCAAGCCCTTAAATTTTTGCACCAGCCGGGAATCGAACCCGGGTCTGTACCGTGGCAGGGTACTATTCTACCACTAGACCACTGGTGCTTGGTATTAGAAACTCCAACTAGTCTTTACTTATTTAAAACGCATATATGCCCATTCTAATAGGATTGAATTGGAGTGTTGATTGTGGGCGTTCTCATGTTTAATACTCCCTCTGTCCCATTGGACTTTGCCAATTTTCCTTTTTTACTTGTCCCAATAAACTTTGTCACTTTCCTTTTAAAACAACTAATTTGTGGTTCTGCACATTTCTCTCTCCTCTGCACAAATTTCAACCACATAATTTTTACTATTCTTATTTCTCACCTAATTTGCACTTGGCAAAGTCTACCGGGACGGAGGTAGTATTTAAAAATGCTTTTCGTGAGTCACAAAAATTGTGATTTTTGTTATTTCTATTTGCTCTATACAAATCTTAACTACACATTTTACTTTATTATTTTGGTACTCATCAAATTTGGCAAAATTTTTAGGGACAGACAGTGTCGTATCCACTATGGGGAAGTGGGGGCAGCTGCCCCCTCTCAAGCCCGACCCAACCCTATATATATATCCTAAAGTTTTATAGAATTTGCTCAAAATAGGAGTTAAACATACGAAAAATTTTAAAAATAGGATTAAGTGTGTTTTCTTCTATAAATATAGGATTTATGTAATCCTATTAATAAAAGAATAATAGGAAAAACAATATACTAAATTTTGTTACGTTTAACTTTTATTTTGGTAATTTTCTCATATTTTATCGACAATTTCATCTTTACACACAACATAATTTAAATTGATCTTCTTTTTATGCATATTTGTACATTTATAACTTAAACTTGATCTAATCAAACAATATTAATAATGTTATATGATATTTATGAAATATGTGATCAAGTTGTAATGCAAGTTCGCCCCCACTCAGAAATATTTATGGATACGCCATTGGGGACGGAGTGAGTCTTTTATTTTATACATGCAAGTAAGCAAACTGTAAAAGTGTAATATTGAAAGGAAATTCATTCTCTTGTTACTTTTAAGGTAGATTAAATTTGCTTATTAGTTATTACTAACATTTTGCTTATGCAGTGATTTTGTAGGGATGTCTGTATAGATGTTAAAAAGTAGTGTGTTGCTTTAGAAGCGGTTTTGTTCGTCTTATTCTTATTACTTATTGTTTATTCTTATTTTATTCAGATCAGAAACATTCAGATCAGATCAGAAAAGTTCAAACATAATTTATCACTTTTATTATTATATTAATTATAATAATTATTATAATTATTTAATTATAATTAATAATAATAATAATAATAATAATAATAATATATTAGTAATAATATTATTATTATTTTAATATAATAATATAATAATATAATATTAATAATACTAATAATAATATAATAATAATAATAATGTAATATTATTATTAGTATTATTATTTATATTTCTTATATTATTATTGTGGTTGTTGTAATTATTATTATAAGTATTAATATAATATTAATATTATTATATTGTCTGTTGTAAATATTATCATACGGAGTGATTATAATTATAATTATAGAAATAAATATAATAATTATTTATAAGTAATTATATAATTAATTATGATTATATAATTACAATTATAATTGTATCTATAGTTATAATTAGTATAATAGGTATAATTATTAAAATTTTGAATTTAATTTTAATTATTATTATATTTTTTTATAATTATGATTGTAATTATAATTTTATTTAAATTATATTTGTAATTAAATGTATATTTATAATAATTATTATTATAATTATAGAAATATTCAAATCAGATCAGAAGGATTCAGATCATATCAGAAACATTCAGATCAGATCAGACCAGATCAAAAAGATTCAGATCAGATCAGATCAGAAAGATTCAGATCTGATCAGATCAGAAAAATTCAGATCAGATCAGATCAGAACTTAAAAAATTCAGATCAGAAACATTCAGATCAAGTGAAGAGAACGGCTTCTTACTCTACATATGTGATCTATTTAAATCATATTCAAAGTTTTAAATTACATATGAGTTATTTGATCTATATATCAAAAGGTGAAAGAGACGAGCATCAAAGTGCATTAAATTGAGTAAAATATCAATTTGTAATTTGCATGGTAAAAGTAATTTTTATGAAAATCACACCCTATTAAACACCTATCCCTAAATGTATTATGAACTAAATTAATACCGAGTACTCCTTTCGTCCCATTACACTTTGCAACCTTTTTTTTGTTCCAAAAGATTTTGCCACTTTCCATTAAAGTAACTATTTTGTGGTTCTGCTCATTTCTCTTTCCTCTGTACAAACTTCAATCATAAATTTTTTACTATTCAAATTCTCGCTTAATTAAAAGAGTGTAAAGTCCATTGGAACGTAAGTAGTATTAAACAAATTACACAAAGCCGACATGAACAGGATTGTTAAAAAAAAGGATGGCACCCCATCTCGACCTGAGAGCCCCCAATGCCTACAGAACGGTACGTTGGGGAACAGGGATTGTTAAAGAATACAATTGAAGGTGTAATTGAGTACATGATGACACATTTTTGGCTTAGTGGACTTCTTAAATAATCTTTCACACCTTTAATTGGCAACTAAGATATACGTAGTATAATATGTATAGCAGAAATATTATTTACTTTTAGTTGAAAAAAACAGAGGATCATAATTAAAATCAATGTTCTAAAAGGCGCTAAGCGCTAGTCGGACGCCAGCCTAGCGCCTAGGCAGGCGCCTAGGCGCCTAGGCGGGGACTAATCGGAGACATAGAAATTACATTTTTATCTATATTTTTGCATATATATATGATAAGTAATATTGTATTTGTGTGTGTATAATTTTCATATATACATATACATTGACAAACTTGAAAGATAGAATAATCACATTTAATCATACATAGTACGGAGTATATGATAACTAATCACTTAACTTCATTATGTTATAAATATAAATATTGATAAAATTTAGGTATATATACAAACATGTATAGTTTTATCTTAATTTACAACTTCATTTCTTTATATCCATGGCTAAAGTTAAAGTACGTATATCGCTTGGAAAATTAAAATTAAAAAGTATAGTAATGTTCAGCGAATTTAGACGTCCTAAGTGGCAAATTAAGTGCTCTAGGCGGGCAACTAGGCGCCATAGGCAGCCAACTAATTCACCTAGACGGCAAACCAATTAGTTGGAGCGCCTAGACGAAATCGGGGCGTCCGGCCACCGCCTAGCGCCTAGGCGGGAACTAGTTGGACGCCTAGAACGATTTTTACAACAAAGATTAAAATAGAACAAAAAGTGATCATCTTATAAATGCCACTATGCAGTTAGGTAACTGTCAGTGGCCCTGAGGTAATTGTCACTGAGATGAGGTGACTATCATTGTGCCGTTGAGGTAACTATCTTTGCGCCAGTGGTGGCTGACGGTATTATGATGGAGGTCACTGCACTATAGGTCATTGTGGCGGGTCAGGTAAGATAAAGTCGCTAGGGATTACGGGTATTTTTGTAAATTTGCCTTTTAATCACATGTTTGGAAATTTATAAAAAAAAACTTTTATT